GGCTGCCAGCTAAGTTAAACTATCACAGGAACAAAAAAAATTAATGTACAACAGAATATAAACATAGATTATTCAGACAGTTTTCACTTACACTCATTGAGACAAGATACATTTAACATTAATTTACATTTAATAGTAGTGAATGTCAGTCACTAAGAGCTTTGTAATGAAGAGCTTCAACAGACCTGAAGACACTATAGCACAAAATTCTGGTGTTACACAGGCAAAACTATCTGTGTGCCGGACAGCACCAAGTATACAGCCTTGAACAATCACAATTTTTCCCTCAAATTCTTACCTAATCTGCCCTTCCACAGCACTACATCTCTAAAAGAAGTAAAAAGTTCACCTTACCCAACACTGTGTATGATTCACCAGTAAAACGATCTCTGTTGCCCCTCACTGTGGATCTTGTGCTAAAAGATGTCCTCTTTGGAGACGGTGCACCACTTCTAAGAAGAAATGAACCATTCAAGATTTGGACTCAGTTACAGAAATAAACACTCAAACAAGTTTTCCCAAGTCAATTAGGTTGCAATAAACATACATAAGCTATTGAAATGACACATTATTTCAGCCAATTAACACCCCTAACAGTATGCATGCACAAGAACTGATAGAGAAGAAATGACAGCCAAAAAAAAAAAAAACCCACCCCAAAACCCAAGACATCGTAACAAACAAGCCCAGAGGTAGCTGAGAAGCGAAACAGGAGGAAATAAAAAAACAGATGCATGTCACATGGTTTGAATGGACACCTGTATAAAACACTGTTTTGCCTGTACTACACAGAACCCTAGAAAATTAATGTCTCTGGTTTAAGCTTTCTAGTAAGACTGGTAGATCATAGAATGGTTTGGGTTGGAAGGGACCTGAAAGATCACCTAGTTCCAACCCCCCTGCCATCAGCAGGGACACCTTCCACTACACCAGGTTGCTCAAAGCCTCATCCATCCTGGCCTTAAACACTTCCAGGGAGGGGGCATCCACAGAGTTTCTTCCTAATACCTAATCTACGTTTACTCTTCCAGTTTAAAGCCATTACCCCTTGTTCTATCACTACCTTCCCTTGTAAAAAGTCCCTCCCCAGCATTCCTGTAGCCCCTTCAGGTACTGCAAGGCCACTCTAAGGTCTCCCCAGAGACTTCTCTCAGCTACAAGAATCAGATAAGCATGAATACACTGCTGATATTCAATGCCAAAATGCCCAATTTTCACTGGAATTTAAGTATCAGTGAATGAGCAAATAACATCAGTTGTGTTAAAGGCTGGTTTTTCAGTACATGTATGGCTTGTATAGCCAATGACTGAACTCCCAGGAAAAAATATAACCTATCAAAGAATGAAAGGAATAAAATTGTCATAGTCTTATTTCAAAATACACGTACTGAAGACAAGAGAAAACCCATGAGCATCAAATCTAAACACAATTTATATTAAAAAAGATGAAGTGAGACTTCCAGAGTTTCATGCATCACAACTCTCCTCAAAAAGAAAAAAAAAAAACACCACCAAAAATATATTGAAGGGCTGGGATTTCACTTGATTATATTAACTCTATCAAAGACAACAGAAAAGAAAATTGTCACAGAGCACACAGCAGCTCTTCAAGAATCATTATAAAATTTAAGAGTCTAATCCTAATCAAGAAAGACTTAGATTTCTAATCATACTTTTCAAAACTATTATTAGGAAGTAATAGCAAAATATATGAAGACACAATCTGGAGAATATTATAAAGAACGATCAGTTGCATAAAATAATAATTGTAACCTAATGAGGTGTTCAAAAGTTTTATTTTACCTCAGTTATGCCCTCAAAAATAATTCTTAGCAATTTAACCATTAAAAAAAATGAAGGCTATTTGAAAACTACAGTGAATATTAAATCTCAGTAGCCAAGGAATCACATTGGGTTATTATTTCAAAGAAATGTCCCTTTTGCCTTCATTAAAATTAAGTCACATGGAAATCAAAGATGAGTGGTATTAAGCTGTCACACATAAGTGTGCTAGAATCTCTGGTTCCTCTTCATGACTAAGTTTGTTTTATTCCAGTTACAGAAGACTACAAGAAATCACTGATGAAAAAGTTGTCTACTTTAGCATCATCATTTAGCATACAAATTTTCCAGTACTGATCAGAAGACAGCTAAGCCTCTAAATTGCTTGCAAGGGTGACATGAAGAGGGTAAGTATATATTGTGCAGGTGCACCACAACAAATGCTTTTGAATTTTGTTAACATGGAGGAAGCTGTTGTTTACTTACCAAAGAAAAATTTAACAAGTGATAGCATGAAAAAAAATAAAAAAGCAAAGCCAAGAATTAAAGCATAATTTCAGGGAGAATCATCACTCTGCAGATTCCATCCTGCTTCAAGTGCAGAGATCATTCACTCACACTTCCAACAAAAGCTGCTGAAATTTTTCTGTAAGATTCAGTATAAATGAGTTAAGCAGAAAGCAATGTGGCCATTTAGAGAATTGCCATAAGAACAATGCAGGTGCTTTGCTAGTATTTTCTCAAAGTTAGGAAGACTCACTAGGTCCTCAATATAATTTATTTTGTTCAAGTCTTCTGTAAATGGCCGCTGCACGTGCTTTATCCAATCAAAATCTAACAGCCTTTAACAGTTGAGACAATGACACTAACTATTTGGCATAAAAGTTTGAAAAAACTTTCGGGATTGTTTTGCCCCCCAGCACTTAAGTCTCCATTCCAATAGGGTAGGGCAGGAAATTTTATAGCAGAAAGTCAGTGTGGTGCCCATTTTCCAGTACAGCACAGTCTTCATTAGCTAGCACAGTAACTGATGCATTTATTCCACTATGCAGTGACCAGATATTCTCATCTTACGGTTAGGATTGTTGCCTATGGCACTGCAGTTAGACTCAGTTTTCTTATCCATTTCAGCAAGTAAAACATATTCCAAGCAATATGTATTCTGTTTTGGAGAATAAAGGTTGAGGAGCAATATGAGAAGGCATCCATGGAGGGATATCAGAAGTTATCCGAAGGCTTTCTTTTACTCAGATAAATACTTTACAGATCATTAAGCACTTTATTGCCCCTGTGCCTTTCCAGCCCTTGAAAACTGCACACTTGATGTCTGAAACAATTATACTGCAACCTTGTCCACCAATTACGGAGCTAGCTTCAAACTTTCCCAATATCACAGATACTCTTTCAACAGGGAACAAAAGACCCCTGCAAGAATCAAAGCTCGTCTACATCTCCTGCTATAAAAGGTCAGTCTGAGATGCAAAGCTGAACATATGATCGTGTCCATGTATCAAAGCAAAGGCCAGAACTAGCTAAGTTCTTTACTGACAACTACAAAGAGACACCAAGGTATAAGACTCCTAGAGTTTGTTGAGCAAGTAGCAGTATCTCCAAGACAGTTTTAAAACTTGGTTTAGCAGAAATTGATACACTTCGTGTCATAGAACTACCAACACTGCACAGCTTCAAGAGCTTGTCTGCCTACAGAAACTTTTATTTACTGTTGATCTCAAGCTAAAGATACATCCACCTGATGAATACAGAGGAGTTAAACCTCTAAGAAATTAAGGACTTGAGCATTTGTTTTGGTCCTACAACTTCTAAACTTGTGAAAAGTGCAAGAGAGCAAAAACGGGAGAAGTAATTTCTCAAACAGAAGTTTTAGAAAAACAAAAACAATTTACATTAACACACACAATTGTACAAGGAATAGGAAAGTATTTTAGGTGCCTTTACATATCAAAAAAGAGGTTCTCTCATTTAACAGTTGCTTCTGCAAGTAGAATTGCCATGAAGCTTTTTGCACATGCCACCAGTCTAAACTTCAACCTCTTTGAAATTGTAAAAACACTTACTCCTTCTCCTCTGATGTCTAGTAACAGCTATAGCACAAGTTCAGAGGCAAAAAAAGGTTTTCAGATTCAAAAATAAGAACGAAAAATAATTATTTTCAAGTTATCAGAAAAGAACTCTTTACTGTGTATATAAAAAATTTAGTGTGACAGAAGCTTAAGTAAGCATCAGTAAATCTGTAAATAACAGGGATCTTTGTATCAGCACTAGAATACATAATGCTCTTCCAACCACTGCAAATCAGGTTTCCTGCACACTACGATGCACCCTTCAGGAAGGCTGTTTTCCAGTCACTGGAAAATATATACATAATCTCCATGAATCCAAATTAAACTTCAAAATAATTTTTAGAAGCATATGCACATTGCTACTGATAAAGGCTATTAGATTTATTTCTCACTACATCAAGCAAAGGAAAGTAACAGACTCCCAAGAAAACTAGGGCTTCCTAGATCCTAGGAATAAGAGGTACATTATCACCTTCTATTGCTCTTCAGCAGAGGATTCTGGCCACTGTTGATAGAAATAAGCAGTCATTAAACAATTGTTTTATTACTACAGTAAATTATCCCCATTTTTAAGTTGTCATTAAAACTTCTAGCATGCTTCTGGTAGTATATGTCTACTGGGAAGGTATTTGTTAATAAATTACCTCAAGCACTGCTCTTTATACTGAAAAGTGCATGTTGAAAGTCAATTAATTGTCTTTGAGTAAGAAGTAGCCAGCACTTGTGGACAAGGCAAGCACAATGGATACTGTTCACATCTCGACTTTAACAAGGCTTTTGACCCATTCCCACACAGTATCCTCAAACCTGAAGAGGTCAGATATCAACTAGGTAGCAGGCCATAAGCTGTGTACAGAACCAGCTTAACAACAGGTTCACAGCTAGGAATAGTGTTCTCCAAATGAGAGAACCCCACACAACAGGACAGGCTGGGGGACAACTGAGTGAAGAGCAATTCTGCAGAAAAGCAGCTGGGAGTCTTGGTGAACAACAGGAGCCAGTAACAAACAGCTGGACAGTAACAGTGGACAACACACACTGCTGCAAGACAGCAATGAGAAGGCCAAGGCAAGTAACTGTCCCTCTCAATTTGGCACTTGTTAGACTGAGCCTGAAGTCTTGTATCCAGGTCTGGAGCCCTCAGGACTATACACTTCACGTAACAGAGGAAGTCCAGTAGAGGACTGTGTTGGGTTTGGGGAAAGAGGGACAGGGGTGCAAGTGGAGGACTCCACGCTGGGGCACAGAAGTTGAGCCTGAGGGCAAATGTGACTGGAACTGGGACCCCAAGAGTCGCTCACTGCCAGAGTGGAGGTGGACCCCCAGAGCAGAGGGGTGAGTCTGCAGCCCGTGGATGTCCCCATGCCAGAGCTGGGAGCTGACCCTGAAGAGGCCCGAGACTCCACGGGAAGCTCGTGTTGGAACATCTTGTTCCTGGACTTTCACGTCGGGAAGAGCGACACAGGCGAACTGACTGAACCCCCATTCCCTGTCCTCTCTGCCGCTGGGTGGGGGAAGGCAGAGAAATCAGGAGCAAAGTGATTTGAGCCTGGGGAGAAGGGAGGGGTGGAGGAAGGTGTTATAAGATGTGGCATACATACATCTGCCGCTATAGGTGTAATAGATGTTAGATGAATAGCAGTTAGATGAATAGCATCTAACTGCTCTTCATCTAGTTAGATGAATAGCAACAAATTAAATTGATTTTTCTTCCCCAAGTTGAGTCTGTTTTGCCCCTGACCATAACTCGTGAGTGAGCCCTCCCTGCCCCCTTTGTTGGGTCTCCCATCCCATCTCACTGCGTGAGGGAGGGTGAGTGTGGGACCGCATGGTCCTACTGTGGGTCAAACCACCACAAGGACCAAAAACACAATTAAGGGACTGGAGCACAGGAAGATAACTGGGCTTGCTCAGTGTCCTGGTTTTTAGCTGAAATAGAGCTGGTTTTTCTTTTTAGTAATTAGAAGAGTGGTATTTTGGTTTGCAGCCTGTGAGAGATCCAGACAACAGACCCCCCAGCTCGCACTGCGGATACTCAGTTTCCAATGAGAAATTTTGCATCTCTCCCCCTTAAATCTCGTGCTTGTGGACTAACAGAACACAAAGTCCTTCACTTCCAGTGACAAAAATGTAAACATTGTTACGTTATCAATGTCTCTCACAGGCCACAAACCAAACTATCACTCTTCTAATTACTAAAAAAAAAACCAGCTCTATTTCAGCTAAAAACCAGGACACTCAGCCTCAGGAAGACAGGAGCTAATTGCTGCCTTTAGCAGTGTAACAGGAAGGTATTAGAAAAGATCAAGCCAGGCTTTTCTCAGAGGGGGTGCACACTAATCAGGAAGAGGCACCTGGTACTCATTACACCACAGGAAATTCCAGTTAGCTATCAGGATATTCCTTCCCTCCCATGAAGGTGGCCTTGAACAGGGGTCCAGCAAGTTAAGATATTCTTCATCCTTGGGTATATTCAAGGCTCAGCCAGAGTAGACTGAGCTAGCAATGTTCTTCCAATCATATTTATTCAGCGATTCTGAATAGTACACATGTAAGTCCCTAACACTCAGCAATCTACCAAGAACTCTGCTGGAGTTAAAGTACTTTGCCCAGATAAAGTAGCTGGCAAATATGTTTAGGGATGCTTTTTACAAAGGAACTCTTTTACAAGAGTTATGTTCCACTATGTGTTATCCTTTGCTGTCTGGTTAGTTTTATTGGTACTTTTATTGCTCTTTCCTTATGTTTTTATGGTAGAAAAGCTGTCTATTCACCAGTACTGACCTGCAACACTACTAAACACAGAATCGTATCAGTTGCTTGCTGACATTTACGCTATCTACTGTACTGGGTTTATGTGGCGAGGTTTTGTAGCAGGGGGGCTGTGAGATGATGCTAGAAGCTGCCCCCATGTCAGATGGAGCCAGTTAACAGCCAGCTCCAAGAAGGACCCGCTGCTGTCCAAAGCTGAACCAATCAGTGATGCTGGCAGCACCTCTGTGATAACGTATTTAAGAAAAGGTAAAAACTGCGAGAGAGGAGTAAGAACATAGCCACCCTAAAGTCCATGGAGAACGCACACTGGAGAAGGTTTCCTGGCAGGATCTGCAGCTCCATGTGGGACCCACACTAGAACAGCCTGCTCCTGAAGGACTGCACCCCATGGAAAGGACCCACACTGGAGCAGTTTATGAAGGACTGCAGCCCATGGCAAGGGCCCACATTGGCACAGTTTGTGAAGGACTGTCTCCCTTGGGTGGGACCCCATGCTGGAGCAGAGGAAGAATGTGAGGAGGAAGGAGCAGCAGGGACAACACATGATGAACTGACTGCAACCCCCATCTCCCATCTTCTTGCACTGCTCTGGGGGGAGGAGGTAGAAAAGTGAGGAGTGAAGTTGAGCCCAGGAAGAAGGGAGGGGTGGAGGGGAAAGTATTTTAAGATTTGTTCTTATTTCTCATTATCCTACTCTGACTTAAGATTGGCGATAAACTAATGTAAATCTCCTCAACTCGAGTCTGCTTAGCCCGTGACAGTAACTGCAGAATGATCTCCCTGTCCTTATCTGGACCCATGGACCTTTCATCACATTTTTTCTCCCACTGTCCAGTTGAGGAGGGGAAGCAATGGAGCAGCCTGGTGGGCACCTGGTGGCTAACGAAGATCAACCCACCACATCTACAAGTTATTTCAGTACCTTGAATGATTTTTAAAAGAATTAAATCCTACTTAATCATTAAGACACATTTCTAATAGCTTCCATAAACAGCCTCAGCATCTGTGTGGCAGGGGAAGGGAAATAAAAATTAAAATTTCTTCCAGGGAAAGATTTCTGAATGAAAATTCCTTTGGTGTCCCACTGTGCTCAAGTGCTTTAATTCCCCAATGCCCTCTTCCTTAATTGCCAGATGAGACATCCCAGACAACATAAGCATCTATAAAAAAGATTTCTTACCTGCTTTTATTTTCCTTCCCTTTTATTTTCTCTTGGCATTTACCTCCAGTAGGATCCCATTCAACATATGTATCTTCAACTTTCAAGTTCATATGAGATGAAGTACTGTCCAAACTGAACACAAATGCTGGTCAAAACAAAATGCAAAACAGTGAAATGGTATAATGCTCTCTTCCAACAGTGGCTGTTGACAGATGATGATAGAAGCAGCAGGAAAATTGTAGCAGAGCACTATTCAACTTAACAGAAACATCAGCTTTTTAGTCTGATGCTTGTAATCGAAGTAAGGAGCCCTTTAAATAAAGCCCATCTACCTCCAGTGCACAGGTTACCTCCAAGTCAGTTTTTTCATGTTTGTAATACTGCAGTATCAGCAATTAAATTCAGCTAGTGTTTTCTGCTGGTTACAGCCTGCTCCCTAGATTCTTACAATTGTGAATGATTTTAAAAGGTATGCTTATTTTCCACGCTCTGCAGCACTGATTCTCCAACAAAGTGTTTATGATTAATAAGGACTGCAGACTTGGAGAACACTAAATTGACAGGGTAGCACATACAGGCAGAGTTCAACTGTGACATAAACTGCAGATATGAGAACAGCAGAGGATGCACACAACTATAAGAGACTTAGGATTTGCTGCAGCCAAGTCCTTCATCTAAGAAAACAAAACTAATATAACATGCCACATTCCCTAAAGATATTTATTTATAGACTATTCTGTAAGTGTCCTAATACACTCAGATATTATAGTTTGATTCTGAAAGAAAGGACACTTGAGATTTTAAGAGTTTAGAACTCAACAGGACACAAGTCTAAAAAAAAAAAAAAAAAAAAAGGTAAGCACATGGATGAGGATACTGAGTTCCTATGGGCTGATTATTAAACAAAGCGAACGAAATGTTCATGCAGAAATAACAAAATTATTATGTAAAGCATGATAACTGCCCAAAAATCAAGATCAGAATTATTTTTCTGATACTGGAGTAAGGAATGTGTCTGTTAAATAGATACTATACATCTGACAATGACTGTTGCTGAAGAGTATTAAAATAATTTTAATTACCAGAATGCCGATCAACTTATTCATATCACATATAGCTTTGTTTTTATGAAGTAACATTCATAAGTAACAGAATTTTTATTTTAATTACCCAGTTCATATCAGTCACTTTGCCCTTTGCACTACAGGCTTGGCTATAATAAGCCTCAGGATCATTATCTCCACCACAACAGTTAAGACTTGTGTTCTGTGTATAAAACATCAACTCCAAGAAATTTTTCTTCTAGTTTATTTACAAAACAGTGTTAGGAAGCCACTATCCTCGGACCAACTCATATCTAACACAATGACTTAACTTCCAGCAATTTGGAGCTGCCTACTTTTTGGACATTGACAGCAATCAGAATCTATGGCTACGAAGTAAAAAAAAAATCCTTTCCAGCACCTTCTATTTACAGAAAGCTATTACCTGTCACATGCCAAGTACCAATAACCAGCCAACTGTAGCAATCATTTAGATGCCCTAGGAGTCCTACTGATGCTCAGCCACAACGTTAATCTTCTCTTACTACATGTTGGCATCATGTAGCAGCATATAATACTGTCAATTCACAGTTCAAAACAATCAATGTCAACCTCTGTTGAAGAAAGTTACATCACTACCTCGTTTTTAGTGTCTAATGCTAAAAGACCAGCTTTGTGTCAATAACGTTCTTAATCCTGTACAGAAATGGTTGTTCTCCTTTTCACTTGGAACACACATTTCAGCAGCGCTCATGCAGAAGCAGGCTTAACATGAGTTCATATATGAAGGCAGAACAGTAAGTGTAGGGTTTTCACTATATTTAAGGTTAGAGTCTTTAAAATTTTACCTTTGGTTTCCAGAGTCACAGGATCAGAGTATTCCCCTGCCACAGCTCTGTTGCAAGCTTGTACTCTAAGGTTCATGTATTTTGTATCAAATTTCAGACCTAAAAAGTGAATGTTTGGAAACCTTAATTGATACTAATTATAGACAATTTTTACAAGACTAAGATCTATTCCATGTATCTATCTTCCATGTATCTCAATCTGCAAAAACCAAGCTTAAATATCAGTGTGAACTTCATTTAACACATGATTTTCAACAAAACCTCAAAGTCAAAATAAAAGGCAAAGCCATTATTGTACAAAGCACCCAAGACTAATGTGAAACAATGGAAGCTTCATTATATACAGGAAACTGGATATTTTGCAAGTCTTCCAAGCATAAAGAGCTATAACAATATCCTTAGTTTTGAAGTATAAAGAAACCTTTACCTGATAATGTATATTCAGTAGCTTTAATATAGTCTATCAGTTCCCAATGCTGTTCATCTTTTACTCGAGGAAGCCCATCAAAGTTGGTTTTCCTATACTCCAGTGTAAAATGATCAATTCTGCTGTCTTCTTCAGGCACTCTCCACGATACTGTTACGCAGTTATCAGCAACCAGACATGCTGCTAGATCTATCTCTGGGGCTTTAGGGACTGCAGAAACACAAATATACAGATCAGTTTAAAGAAGAGAATGGACTGAATATTAATATGTTCTCCTTGGATTTATAGACTTCAGAAGCTGGCCTTGGCCCAGTAGATCCTTTTAGAGGATCTATTCCACCAGCAAAGCACTATAGAAGACCAGGCATATCACTTTCACTTAACACGCATTTCACAAAACAAGAAATGCACGTTAGCTCCAGAGTGAACATTTGCATCACATTTTCCAGACATTTGTTTGGTCAATAAGTTTGGCTGATTCCCTTCTAGAAGCAATGCAAAGGACATGCTAGAGTAGACTGGACTTACAGTTATGAATCTACATTTAGAATAATGCTACACAGGAAGAACATTAAGAAACAAATTTTTATTTCTGAGTCTGCAAGGTAAGTACAGCTGCAGCTCTCAGACAGTATCACTTAAGTTTACTTCCACCACCACAGCGAACTAACAGTGTAATAGCTTCCACTAGCCAGTCAGCAGTTACCTAGTTTTGTTTCCTTTTCATCCTTTGTCTTGAAAGAAGGGAAAAGAATTCCTAAAATTCACTAAAGAAAAGACTGAAGTTTTGTTTATAGAGAACAGAAATGTATTTCCATGAAATTAAAAAGCACTTAAGACCCTAGAAAGTGTTCTTCAAAAGACAGCATTTAGATACTTATTGTAGTGTCCAAAGTACACTCAAGGAAGACTTTTGCAGGAGGAAGCTTTGGTGAGTTTGTGTGGTGGGATTTTTGTAGTGGGGGAGGGGCTACAGGGGTGGCTCCTGTAAGAAGATGCTAGAAGCTTCCATGGCTCCAAGTCAGACCTGCCACTGGCCAAAGCCAAGCCTGTCAACAACAGTGGTAGCACCTCTGTGATAACATATTTAAGGGGGAAAAAAAAAAAAAAGTGGGCAACTGAAGCCAGATAGAGGAGTGAGAATATATGAGAGAAAACAATTCTGCAGACACCAAGGTCAGTTAAGGAGAAGGAGGTGCTGCAGGCAACAGAGCAGAGATTCCCCTGCAGCCCATGGTGAAGATCATGGTGAAGACCATGGTGAGCCAGGCTGTCTCCCTGCAGCCCATGGAGGTGAACAGTGGAACAGAAATCCACCTGCAGCCCATGGAGGACCCCACGCCAGAGCAGGTGGATGCACTCTGCAGCCATGAATCTGTGAGGAGCCCACACTGGAGCAATCTGCTCCTGAAGGACTGCAGCCCACAGAAGGGACTTATGTTGGAGAAGTTCATGGAGGACTGTCTCCCATTGGAGAGACCCCATGCTGGAACAGGGAGAGTGTGAGGAGTCCTCCCCCTGAGGAGGAAGGAGCAGCAGAGACAACGTGTGATGAACTGACTGCTACCCCAATTCCCCATCCCCCTGCATAACTGCTGGGGAGGAGATAGAGAAAATCAGGATTAAAGCTGAGCCTGGGAAAGAGGGGTGGGGGGAAGCTGTTTTAAGATTTAGTTTTATTTCTCATTACCCTACTCCAATTTGATTGGCAACAAACAAGATTTTTTTTTCCCAAGTCAAGTCTGTTTTGCCCATGACGGTAATTGGTGAGTGATCCCTCCCTGTCCTTGTCTTGACCCACAAGCATTTTGTTATATTTTTCTCCTCCCCGTGCCACTGGGGCAGGGGGGAAGTGAGCACTGTGTAGTGCTTAGTTGCCAAATGGGCTTAAACCACAACATAAGTGAAAAAGATGTTTCATTGTTTGCAGTTTTTGGAGGAAGGATCTGCAAGAGCTTTTCCTTTGCTTCAGCATTCACAAAAGCTCAAAATGGATATAAAAGTGTTCTGCAACTCAACGTATCAAGCAGAAACTTAAAAAAAGCACAATACTGATGCATCTGTGGAACTGATAGACCTACGGATTTTGTTTGTCAAAAATCATCCCTTTTCATAACACTCAAACCCTTACTGTGTTGTTCTGTACAGTTATGTCACAGTGACAAGGTCCTCATCACATACAGATTGCCTGTGTGCAGTTGAAAAAACTGTTTCTTGAACAGATTGTTAGCCATGATTCCCCTCCACAATGACTGGTGACAGCCTGCACCACATTAATTATGGTTAAGTCATTCCTGGATATGTAATTTTACCATCTAGATACAAATATCTCCTACCTATAGCAGGTCCTCTAGAAGCAGAAGGCCTAGTTTGATTCATGCATAGTATTTAACACCTTCCCATACTTTCCCTTCATGATCTGTTCAAATATTTTAACCCAGCACTACTGAAACACACCCTTTCACCTCTCACATACCTGCAGGTTAAGCCAAGTAGCAATTAGAGTGAAACTGGTGGTATAGGTTTTAAATGCTTGAGAACAAATAAGCAGCACAGAAGAGAATGAAAGCAAAAGTATTCAAATCTGTCCTGTTTTTTTGCTGGGACAGAGTTACATTTCCTCATACAGGCTTGTACAGTGCTACACTTTGGATCTGTGATGAAAGCAGTTTTTTGATAACAGCAGTTTTAGCTATTGCTGAGCAGCATCAAGACCTTTTCTGCTTCACACATTGCGAGCTGGCAGGAGACACAGCCAGGACAGCTGACCCCAACTGACCAAAGGGATATTCCATACTGTACGGCACTGTGTTCAGAAATAAAGGTTGGAAGAAGAAGGAAGGGAGGAACTTCCATAGTGACGGCATTTTGTCTTCCCAAGTAACCATTATGTGTGATGGAGCCCTGCTTTCCTAGAGATGTCTGAACACCTCCATGCCAATGGGAAGAATCTGCCCATCTATCATGGCAGAGGGGAGTGAGGAAGCAGCTGTGTGGTGCTTAGCTGCCTGCTGGGGTTAAACCATGACAAATTCTCAAATGTTAATCACATGCATTTGCCATCAAATTTCAAAGTCAACCACCAATACTTTGAGAATATCAGTAAAATCCCTTCTGAGACAAAAGAAAAATTAAGATGAGGACACATATTTCAGAACATATATCTTTAAGTTTAGCTACCTACATCAATTATTTTTGCCATTGTATAAGATACCAGATAAGAGTCTTCCATATGTTTGGAATGACCGTCTTCAGCATAATTCTGGCAAGCAGCATTCAAATGCCTGCATTACCACACCACCAAACCTGTTTTCAACTTCCTACTCTATGACATTACTATTTCCTGATGTATGAAGGTCTATCAATGCTCAGTGCAATCTTCCCTGCAGGAGCTTGTTACCTATCGGTATTTGGTGTCAGAAATTTGACAGCCTGGCACTACAGCAGAAGAAAGCAAGACTGATACTCAGACAGTTTTCCTCTTTACAAATAAAAAGCCCAAACAATTCCAATTCCTATGTATTTGTTAAGGTCAATGCACGTATAAGAAGGGTCATACTAAATAACATCTTCATTCAGATATAAGACTGTCCATGCTTGCTTTTAGATCTTTACACTCCCATTCCTGTTAAACAGGTGCACGGTGATCAGCTTACCTACCTCATTTCTTTTATCTATGAAATACAGAGCAATGATTGCCACCCAGGGCTTAAGACTAGAAGGTGACTTTCTGCCTAGCAACTGCCAGCTGACCACTAATGTTAGTAACTTACTACACCTGTGACCACATACTATATCTACAGCATATAAGATAAATGGCCAGAAATGTAAACTGATGCTGCCCGGTCCTTAACAGATTTGGATTAGTGACCTAGAGATGAAACAATTTATATCCCTGCCAGCAGTATTCTTGTCAATATATTCTTGGTATCAGTCAAGGGCAAAGTGGTTTAAATGCAAAAGCAATATGAATAAAAAGACATGAAAGATGTGTACAGAATAGTGCACCTAAGTTTACTTTCAAACAGTAACAAACAGACACATCAATACATATTTTGCATTATGGCAATATCACTGCCCTAGTACATTATCCCTCTCTTGCATTTCAGGCCATATCACCACTCTTGTAAGTGGCATATTAGCTTACAGTTCCATGCATAACACTACTGCAGATGACTAGGACTTTGGAGTGTCACTAAGCATCAATTTAGTATATACAGCCTGGAGGAACTCAAGATAAGTTTAGGAAGTACAGAAGAACTGACAAGTCAAGAAAAAACATGGTTTAGAAGACTCATTCTCACTTCTGAGATCAGTGTTATTTTCCAAAATGTTATATTATGTAGAAATTAACTCAATAAAACCAGAAAACTCTTTTACCCTCAAGGTATTCAGCTTAACATCCAACGAATGAGTTTAGTTAATCTGAAAAGTTTGCTCATTAGGGTGCAAGAGGTGTGTTTTGGTTTTGTTTGTGTGTTTTAAATACAGTAAGTTATTAAAGTAGTAACAAATTAAACTTGCTGCACACAGTTTTTACCTGGCAAAAACTTTACAGCCTGGAGCATGCGCCTTTCCAAAGCGAAGTCCACCATCAAATGAGTCATACTATCACTGACCTTTGGTTTCAGAGAGATGCGGAATGCTGAAGCCATTGTGACTCTAAAGTCAAGAAAGCAGCATTAGCAAAATGTATTTTGCATTTTTAAGTCCTATAGCCATTTTCAAAAACAGCAATCAGCAATCTGTATCGTTAATGTCAAACTGTCAGCCAAAATACTGGTCAAAGACTAGAGCATTTTTCTAATAGATAACTGTTTACTATTTAGCACAGACTCCAAAACAGAAAAGTTTGCTAATATGACTGTCTCAAAGAGAATATGATGCTAGCTCCTAGTTCCATATTACTAGGCAAAGAAATACTAGAAGTGACTAGAGAAGAGCTTAAAATATCTTGTACTAGTGAAAAAACTTGGATAAGAAAACAAATATTACTTTACACAAAATCAGGAAGTATGAAAAAGCTAAAGCACTGTAGAATCAGGATGTTTTATACACTCAGAAATTTGAAACTTAAACCTTTAGTTTACAAAGGTTCAAAGACTTTTCTGCTCAACAAGATCCACTCACTAGCTTCAAAGTGCATTTTCACATGTTAAATATTGCTCAGAAGGCATTTATAAATAGCAGTGAACAAGCTAAATATTACAATTTCATATCCACCTCTGATCTTATCAAGGGATGGAGAAATGTTTAAGTTGCAGATACCATATAGCTTTGGAACATGAAAATATCAGATCAGTCTTACACTGAAATACAGCTCACATTTCTACTTCTGAAATCTTAGTTCAGTCTTTAGTCTGAATACTCCAAAGACACGCCTGTATTCCACCAACCACACCACCAAAAAAAGGAGGACAAGTTCTGTAACTCTGAAGATATCAGGTCACACAGTAGAATTTGAATAACTGATTCAGACAGCACACAGGTCCTAACTCCCACTTTAAAAAATAAATAAATAAATAAAAATAGATTCTTAACTAGAAAGTAATATACACACCACAAAAAGTCAACTGCAAACACATGTATCCAATTTACATCAACAGATGTGTGGCACCTTTAGAACTCCAAATAGCTCACAGGAAGTGATACACATTAAGTACTTCACTAGTATGTAAGAAAGATTGTATGCTAACTACAAGAACATTAAAAAATGGTGAAAAACAAAATATTCAGGTAGTGAAGAAGGGGGAGGAAATAAGAAGTTGAGTATTAAAGATACAACCATGTCAAGAGCGACAAGCATTATAATTTTCAGCTCTAAGACAATCGTGACACTGAACTGAACGTCATAAAAGAGACAGGTCAACTGATCCAAAGACAGAGCTGACATTCTGAAACCCAGTATGAGCTGGCTATCAGTTTACACTGCTTGGCCAGACAGGTAAACAATCCTCTGATTAGCAGTAAGAGAACACTGAGTAGTCAGCTTCAGACAGCTTTTTAACTTCTATTTAGGTACCAATCTTAGACAGAGAACCAGCCACAACTGGTTGAAAAGGATTAGACCACATAGCATTTCAAGAAACTAGAAGAGTAAGAGGATGTTTATTACAGATAAAAAGTATTAAGATTCCTGTCACTGGCACTATCCTTCTGATTTGTTAAGGACACTAAACCTTTACCCTTGGAAAAGTAAAGATTAATTGCTCTACTAATTACTCATTTTACGCAAAACTTCACAGAATTTCAACTATCAGACTCTTCCTTGAAAACCTGCAAATAGAAGGCTAACCTATTTGGTCCACAAGAGCAACACATGCTGGAAACACCTTGTGAGCTGTCTTTCAAAATATTATGCACATCATAGTACAAGTTCTATGAACCAGAAAGTCAGACTCTCGGAGCACAGTTATTCTTCCAAGTGAAGAAAAATGGTCTTAGCATTTATTTTGAAACAGTAAAGTTTTGTATGCTAACTTTCTAAACAACAGTTTGAAGACAGAGTTCAAAGAAAAGATACCAGAAACAGCAATTTCACTGACATTAGTCAGTGATGTCATCAGAAATATTTCAACAGCTACAAGACTTTTTACATTCAAAAGTAAAGTTAACTAGTAAAGGTCTGTAAGTACTTAAAAAAAAACAAACAACAAGATTTTATCATAATTTAAAGGGATAGAGTCAGCTTGAAACATAACTCAATTTCAGCCATCAGGTATCAATAATAAATCAGAAGTTTATTAATCATTATAATGATATATTGTATTAATTCTACCGTCATATATGCCTAAATAAATAATAATAAATAACTGCTGCAGAGCTCTACTTCCCTGCATTAAAAACATCTTTCTCTTTATTAAGGTATGAAAGGCCAACAGTCAGCAAGGAAAAAAACTACATGAGAAGCATAGGAGTTTTTAGTTCTCTCTTGAAAGTTATGATGTCACAACAAATAATTAGGAAAGAACCCATTAATTTGATTTAAGCTGACTATGACCCTTTCAAAATAAACGCATTTTCAAGGATAAGATTAACTTAAAGACGCAAAAGCAATAGACTTTGTACTGTACCTATCTTTGATCTGTCTGGCAGCCTTGATGCATGTCAGGGAGAAGAGAGAGAAAGTAGTTAGTATTTCCATGCAAGTATCAACAGCAGTAACATGCAAGAAGGGTCAGAACAATCTCAGCTGTATTACTCAGATTTGAAGATCAAAATGAGTTTAACATTTCCATCAAAATAAATTTTCCCATAAAGCATGTTAATAGTATTGGTTAGAATTGCAACAATGTACCACCAGGGAAAAAACTGATCTCAAGAACCACCAAACCAATTCTAAATTACTGAACCTCCTGGGTATGACTTTGTCTCTACAGATTTCTCTTAATCAGTTAAGCTACTCTCCATCACATTTTAAAAGAGCTACATGGCCAAGTCAGTAAAATGGAACTACCGTGGTATTTTCTGTGAAACTATATAAAGTGTTTATTAGTTGCACACAACTAGACTTGACTTGTTCAGCTATACATCATAGCATGTACACTCTGACAAACAACAAAAAACAGGACTTGCTTTAACTTCTCCTCTGAAAGTTCTTCTACTATTCTAACAATGCTTCCTAAAAGGCTCTCTCTGTACATCACTATTCAAAACTACAGAACATAGTGTTTCCCAGAATTTAAATGATACCACCTGAGGTCCCTTCCAACTCCTGCGATTCTGTGAATTTAGTTTGTTTCCAGGCTACTGACAAAGTGTATCAGCCTATCTCAGATGAATGCAGTGTCAAATCACATTCTATCTAACCACTCAACCACCCTGTGTGCTGGCATTCATGTTCTCTTGAGTTCCAGGTAAGCCAATTCAGCAAACAAAGCCGACAAAAATTTAAGATAGAAAAATAAATTAAATGAATAAATAAATCTAAGTTTAGTATTACGATAGTTTCTCTTGAGCTGATTTACAAGAGGACCCAAAGAAAATCTGTGCCAATAAAATCAGGGCTGGAGTTGTCCTTTCAGGAACACTTGGTATTCCTATTAGCAGAGCTATAGATTTAGCTAGCTAATAGCCAAGGCAACATTACCTTAAAATGACATATCCAAAGGCACATTGACAAGCGTAAGCAACTGCAATCCAAGTTTCAAATCCTACAACTAAGAGTTCACTGAAGAGGATTTCAGTATCTTAAGCCTCGGACTCCAATTTTAAAGATATTTCCCCACCGGGCAAACACTCAAATAACTTTCCTTAGTATATGAGATTGAAAAAAGCATTAGAGATATCTGAAAAGAAACAACTTATAATTAATTCAAAGCTACATTCTGCACAGTGCTGAAGAGCTAACTTAATCTTTACACATCACTATGACAAGACAGAAAGGACAACTCAAACTGAAGTGCTAAGAAAAATATTCAGTTTAGGAATTTTCATTCTTCAAGGCAAATAAATCAAAGCTGACACTCAGGAAGCATGACAGCACACAAACATGTTGCTACAAGGTATAACTGACACAGTGAGACAGCTTTCCTGCCTGCTCTTTTAGAATAATTTGTGTCTTTGTTCCTCTTAAAATGCAGAAAGGCAAAAGTAATTGGGTTTTGGATTTGGTGTGGCTGACCTCACTACTAACTTGAAGAATACAGCAAGTCTAGTGTATTGAGTCAGTGTGTACACAGAACTGTTTTATTAATTTGTAAATATATTCTTCCAGTGAGCTACATGTCGCCTTATTTACAAGTCTGCTGTGGTAAAGTGCACATTATTTGTACTGGAATCACAACATGAGGCCCAAATCAGGCTCTTGCCTACACAGTAGACAAATGCATTAAAACGTTTTGGGGAACTGAGGAAGAGTTGACCTGAATTCAGTTTCATAAGATCTTTCAGGACAGCTATAGAGTTCAGGGTTGCAAATTAAAGATCCACAGATTACATGAAGTTCTGCAAAACAAGCACCTTGTCAGCCTCAGATGGCTGCAGCTAGAATACAGAGACTCTCTGCAACTGTCATGTCACAGCATTGGGCAACTGACAGGTCACTTGCCACAGCTTTGAGTGCTGGTCATCACACCTTTTATAAGTTTTGGTTCAGTTTTATAGAGGTTTATTTCACCCTCACTTTCTGGGTTCACTTACCTAGCACCACTGCAGGTTTGCTTAACAATGACACTTGTCTAAGGCATTTACTTCTCTCCCCCCGCATCACTCTAAATAAGAAAAAACTTATTTTATTAGAGGCTGCAAAAAAATTCAAGACTACAGTGCTTGAATTGGCCTCCTCAACAGAGGACTAATTGTACTTTTTTTAAGCCCCTCTATCCTTATCAGTTTTCCTGGTAAGTTCAGTATTGCAAAGAATATTTCAAACTGAGACAAATACCAACATCTGACTTATGCACATCTCTTCAACGTTTTCTACCTTTATGAAATTCACAGGGTCCTTTATGTCCAGCGACTGCGCAGCGAGTTCCAGTAACTCTTCAGAACTCTCTAGGGCATTACTACACTGGCTAAGCTGATCCTGAAGCAAAAACAGAAAGTAAGAATAATTTGATGTATTCACATTAAAAAGTGGTTTATAAACTACCAGTACTAGAACTACATGGCTTTGCTACATATTTCTAACAACTTACTACCTAATCTAATCAAGGCTCTGACACATCATGTTAATTAGAATTCACTGTGCTTGACAAGTACACAGCGATACACGGCACATAATTCCTATAATTCCAAAGGGTAAAAAGTCAGATAGATGGTGAAGTCTGATTTAAAAGCCAGATTTCATTTTCAGGTCTGTTTCTCCCAACATCAGGACTTCAGAAGCAAAAAAATGCTCACATCTGTGTCCACAATTTCTATTTGCAGAACTGCACTTCATCATGAACTAATATTGTTTAATGTAGCAGTAGGCTTGAATAAGGCAATGATTTTAGCCCAGCCAGCTGTAGAATTGTCACAAGACAATCCTGAAAAGCAGTATTGCTGTATAGCAAATAAGGACAGTAGAGGAAGGGGGACAGAAGAAGGGCAGAAGAGAAACTCATTTCAGGCTTATCTAAAACTCTATCATTAGCAAACTACCATTTCCAGTACATAAAACAGTCCACAGAGAATTCACAGTATTACATACTATGGGTATATCCCTAAAAAGATTAGTTTTAAATATATTGCAGGATCCTAAACATACTGTAGGTTAAAAAGATGCACATGTTAAACTTGCCAGTAGCTTTTACATTGCCATTCAATCTACAGCTGTTTTTCTACTCATGTGATACTTACTGTAATATCTCAGAACAAGTAACGAGCAAGTATTTATTTTTCTTTAAAACACTTCAGGAAAGACAGCTTGCTCTAAAGTAGTGACCGTCTCAAAAGCAACCAACAGTTCCATCAACTCTGAGAACAGACTGATCTCAAGCACCTTAGAAGTCTAAATAGTCTTGGCAAGTGTGGTGAGTTGACCTGTACTTCGGATTCACTGTTCAAGGATAAAATAGCAGCAAGAAAACAGTCCAACAGCTAGAAGTCTGTACACAGTTTCCAGATAACTTCTGAAGGATGCCATTAACACAAGCTGTCATTCATCTAATACAGCTGCTCTCTTCTTTGGAGGCTACCCAACACTGACAAACTCAAATATACCATGATACTGCCAAAATGTCCCAGGCAAACACCTCAAAGGGAAAAGCAAATGCCAGAGGCATTTCCAAACAGCTTTGCAGAAATGACACAGTAACTGGATGCTTACATTACCATTGTACTGAGATGCATCATCATTTGGGAGTTAAAAATAAATACTTCAGTGTCATTAAAATACACTGCCCCAAAATGAAGCAATATATTTTCAAAGCAAGGGTTTAAGGAAAATTTCTAAATTTTCAGCCTTAACTTCCAAGGAAATTATTTGTGAGGAATCAGTCTAAAAATTAAATCCTCACCCTTTTCCACCATCTAGCCCCAGTATGTTAAGTTACAGCTTATTCTCAACAAGAGCATCTAGTCAACGAAAGAAGACTAACAGCAGCACAAGCACTTTAAGAGGACAATAAATTAAGCAAGTCAATTCCTGAATTAACAGGATGTTCAGACCTCACTGAAGTTCCTTGGTTTCCTCATACAAAGCTAATTTGCAGTTCCAGTCAAAGATAATGGCTTGCCTTAATACATTCAATGCAACAGTCTTCATCTGTTAGTTTGGTTTAGTACATGGACTGTTAGGAAAAGTACTCTTGCAGTGCCTCAGTTAGAAAGGAAGCTTGGTCTGTCATCAAGTAAAGAGAACATCCTTTGGACCTGTAGCTAGAGAACAGCCTCAGCTGTTCTCAGACAAGTAAAGCACTTAAGAGTTGTGTCAGTGATCTGTTAACTTCCCACTTGTCTTCATTCTCTTCTGACTAAGTAGCAGCTCAGTTGTTCAACACAGATGCCAGGGAGCAATTCTTTATATGGCTGTACCACACTAACAAGCTTTCAGAAAAACTTGGTTCAACCACATCTGAGTTTGATCAAATTAGATTAACTTCAAGAAAATTAACAGTTATTAACAAAATTAACAGAAAATTTAAATAGTCAAACTACTAGATGAGTAAATATCAGAGCAGTTTTCCATTCCAGAAGCATTACTTGCAAGATTAACTTTAGTTTTTCTTCACTAGAAGGTAGAATAATTGATACATGCCACTGATTAATTTCTGTTGTGAGCCGTTAGTTAAGAAGCACTATTCTTTAAGCATTTAAATCTACAGTGCCCCTGGATGTTGAGACAATTCAGGACTTAAAACAGACATATGAGGACAATGATTAAATTGGAGGTAGAAAAGTGCACTCAAGTGCTTAACTTAAGCTGGAACCTGGAAGTTCTGGGATGTTTTATACCCAGCCTTTCCGTATGAACATAAAACAGACCTCATAAGCAAGACTGTGGAATTTGCTTCAGAAAATCACTCCTAGAACTTCTTTTAAACTTACTAGACATGAAAAGGTGAAATTTTTCAGCAACAAATATCTTCCTTATCATAAGCAAAAAGAACTAGACAGAAGAGTGCTGCACCTGTGATCATTTACAGAAAAAAAAGCTGGAGAAACAGCTTCTGCTTAAGAGATTTAACTGTCCTTTGGTCCCATGCAACTAGTCTTTCTGAAAGCTAGAGCCAACTTGCTACAAGCTACTAGAAAAACACAGACTTTGTGTTTCAGGAAGTTATGGTTTTGTTTCTACTTCTCTGAAACCCATTGGAAAGATTCTCCTGTATGAAATTATACAACTACAAGTTGGAGAAGTTCATGTAGCAGGTTTAGTATCAGGTTCCACTATATCCTGTGCCCAAGCAAATCCCATATGTCTTTCTGCATGCACATACAATTTGCCTGACCTTAACAAATGGGGGATGGCTAGTTCTGTCAGTAGGAGACCAGCCTTTGTGCTCAGGACACCTGGCGCAATTCTCAACTCCAAGTTCAAGCCTGAGCAAACCGCTTAGGCACCTCTACAGTATCAGACACTCATACTCCAAATAGAAGGAACAAATTTCAGTCCAGAAGCTGTTCATTAGTTTGGAGGTGGTAAACAAACCTAAGTCCCACTCCTATGCAGCCACTCTCCACCTGTAAGTTCTACGGGTAATATCACTTCCTTTCTACATAACAATGTAGAGAACATAAACATGCCAGAGATCGTGAAGTAGCCTAGGAGAAGAAACCAGAGAAGTAGTTCTATAAAGGAAAACATTTACATTACATTTACTGCTTTTCTTGCAACACTACCAAAATTTCACTTTCAGTTGAGATTTAAAATAGCAGTTTAAAACTGCTCCTAATTAGCTGCAAAAATTTACAGATGTAGTTATACAGTTACCTGCAGAGTTTGAATTTTACGAGCTTCTTCTTGCTGAATAGTGTTGGCCATGCTCCCCTTCATCTCATCCAGTATAGAATACAGACCATCAAATTCTTCATCCAACTCAGTGATTGCATTAGAAGAGTTTACCTGAGAAGAGAATTGAAACTGCTGCAATTTGTATTTGAAACAATGCAGACTAGTCTTTTAGACTGAAAGTCACGCTGCCCCAACACGCTTTGCCATGACCACTGTATACCTTGACACTGTTCCTCACCCTACCAAAAGGGAAAAAAGCATTAAAAATGATGGACACCTCCTGAGTAGACTTTACATCAGGACACTGAAGACTGAAATCCATTAAAATTCCCTGATACTCAAACTTGCACAGAACCAACATATTTGGCAACTTTGTTCCATGCCAAGAGGCCTTGATTTTCCTCTCACAATTCTATATGGATTGCTAGATATTTGTAAAGAGGTTGTTATCCAGTTCCATATAAAATGTTTTTATTTGATACTAAAAACTGCACTCAAGAAGCCAGCTTAAAGATCTTCTGGATGATTTCCATTTCTGTAGTCAGCTTGGCTCAGCTTTAAGAGGAAACAAACATTTTTTGGCTTATTGACAGGCTAAAGGAACCCAAACCTCGTCCTAGTGTAGGTGCTCTAAAAATTAGGTCTAACTTTTAACTTAAGCTCAACAATTCACAACTACTGAAAAGACAAAAAGCAAAGAATTTTCTGAAGTATCAGTATGGCCTCATTTTTCAGTCTGACGAGCAGACTAGAAGTCTAAAAAACGTAGACTACTTCCCGCTAACAGGAGTTTGAGATCTTGAATCAAAATCCGTATTCTCTCTTCCACACAAATCAAATCCTACAACAGCTTTTCGCATGAAAAGCAAAACCACCATACCTTTCAGCTAGAGACAGTTAAAAAATAACATGTTTTTCTATCTGATTCCAACATGAAAATATATTTTTAAACTTGATTATTATAGCTCATCACTTATACAATACTCAAAGAGTTTGAGACTGACAAAACTGGAAAGCTGCTCCCCTCCCAGCTACAACCTATGACCCTTAATATATATACCTGAACATTTTTTATTGTATGGTTCAGCATGTCAATGAAGTTGTGAATTTCGTCATTTTTGTTTGCTAGAGTAGAAACAATCCTTTGTAGAGTCTCCTAGAATTACAAAAAGAAGTGAGAAAAGTTGTAAGAGAACCTTGTAATTTTTTTAACCATCACCTTTTCAATATATATGGAAATTCATCATACACATTCCAGTTGTGTTGAATTCAACTCTTATTCTGAGATCAGGAAATGTATTTTGTCAGAAAAGAGAAAGACTATCAAAGGCCTAAGAAGCATTCCAAACTAAAGACCTCCAGTAGTTAGTTTAAGAGAAATCAAGAATCTGTTTTATGATATGCTTTGCATATCCTCCATACAGTTTGCTGCTCATGTTACTGCAACTCCTAAATCATCTAAACCAGACTACCTACTGGCACCACACTCTGCCATATATAACTTCCTCAGATGAGAAAGCTAGTGGTTGTGCAATCAAATAGAGAACCAATAAAGAACAGAAAAAAAACCCAAACAACTGATAAAAGTTAACCAAAAAGAAACATTAGCATTTTCTATTATCAAAAGAAGCTAGTGTTAAATAACAAAGCTGACAGTTTACTCTATATACAGACTAAAGCTGTGACAGTGTAACTTTAAGCTTATTCTACAAGTGTTAAAATATTTCGGTGATTAACTTATACATTCCAATTAAAAGTGACCTCAATGAGTAAAGCTTACTGATAACTGGGAAAGAGAATCAATGTTATTTCTGCGGTGTACTACCTCCAGCCACCAAAAAGCAGTAGATTCAGCTTATAAAATATACTAAGCAGGCAAAGCTGTTAAGCACATCAAAATGCATTTTCAAACTAAATCCGACTACCGAGTCTATTTTTGTTAAGTAGTCAGTCTAGCATTCTAAGAATTTGACAAAAATATATCAACACTTGGTACTTAAAACTAAGTCAAGTTGTATAATTAAAGCTCAGAGCATATCAGCATATGAAAGTAAAAATAAAGGACCAGGTAAGGAGGCAATTAAGAATTTTTAAGTTCTTTAGTTCAGGCTGTTTGATAATAAAGTCTACAAAGAAATCTGACTCTAAAATTCTAGATTTCAAAAAAAGTGAAAGCTGTCTTAATTGTAATTAAGACATTATTAATCGGTTGTACTCAAGAGTTTCAAGTTGCTCAGCTTAACACTGTTACTTAACAACATTTATGAAATTAAGGCATGGGGAGCTAATAAGCACACCTTAAAAACAGCCAGACCACCAAAAAGGATGTTGCAGAGGTCCCTCCCATAAGCAATTTTTAAATAACCATTTAGTACTTAGATCACATTTGTTTGCTAAAAAGCAAGAGAAATATTTTATCTTTTCACAAATACATGATGAACATTGATGCTACGTCCCATACAAGGGATCTCTCCACTAATCCTAAGCCGTGCTCTTACCTGTGCCTTCTGGCCCCTTGCCTCGGCAGTTTTCAAATAATCTGCAGTGGTGTATTTACTGGCACTCTGGCCCGTGCCTGTCTGCGTGCTCACAAAATTAAACCTCTGGTAGAGGAAACTGCAAATTTACTGCAGTTACCAGAGGTGCTGTGATGGTTATATGTAAGGATGTGACTGGCTAGCCCTGACTGAAATTAGGACAAGAAACAAGACCAGATTGGCTTATTTCAGAAACAAAGAGAGAACAGGTCTTGATCACTTTGTCTCTTCATCATCTAGTTAAAGCTGAACATGTTTGAAGACAACTCGGTACACGTTAGACTGGCAGATGAAACACCATTGTCCAACCAGCTGCTTCTGCATTCAGTACTGACAAGAGGCAATTGTTTTCGCATGTCAGACAGCCTGCGGTTAAGCCGTAGATCCTATAAACATAACTGTCAATTTGGATGAACAAGAAAACTCCCGGTTCTCTTTCAGCTAGGATTTTAAGGCTTACCCTGTTCCACCACATGGAAAAAAATTAGTCGTCTTGTACACAGTACTGAACAATGCTTTTGGTTTTTATAGCTACATATGATTAAAGGAAAAGATCTACATGTGAGGAATGCTTAGAAAGCCTTTATACAGCCAAATACATGGCAGCAACTGAAAGATAGCTGTCAGACAAGGTTCTCCACTACATCTAAAGTTAAAGTCAACTGACCGAACTGGGATCAGGAGGGCTTTGCTTAAGTAAGCTACAAATTTCTCCAAACAGAAACTCCACCAGGTTTGGTCAAACTCAACCAAGATATCTAATTCTATAAACACAGATAAAAGAGGCTAGAAAAAAATCCACAAGGAGCAGACAGAATTTCTTAAACACCAATGCACAAGCCATCAGAACAGAAAATAAGTTTTTAAGAAACACTTAAATATAATATTTTCTAATATAACTTTCTAATCACTAATATGTAATAAACAGATTTTCTTCCAAACATACCAAGACATAAGCCAAACTGAAAACACTGCACTGCTGTCATTTCTTACTTTAACAGAAATTTCTGAAGAAACTACAAACACATGTAATAAAAAGGGTGCTAGAAAAATCACCAATGTAAGCAGCAGTTGAGGCTTTTGTTCCAAGTTACTCCATAAAAGAATTACAACAGCACCAAGCTCAGTAAAGCTTCTTGGTATTTCTACACTGAAGGAAGTCTAAATGCATTGCCCACAGACAGATGCAGTATTTCACAGAATCTGCATTATTTTTGTTTTATTACATACAATTTTCTTTTAGTTTGCTCTCTGGCTAGCATGTGTTAAGTGAGGTCAGTTTCAAATTAGTTTTCAAAACATTATCGCACGTTCATTACAGAATTAATTTTTGCTGCTGTCAGTGAGCATCGAACTGCTCTTCACTTTTATGTCCTATTCTTCATCTCTGAATCTAAAACACTCTTTGCAGGAAAAAAAGCATGGCATTTGCAAAGACACAGTGTAGAAGTGCAAGGGATGAAGAACATAAGAGGACATGAAAAAGAAGAGGAAGCCCTGCAACATGTGGTGGGTTGTAGTCCTGCCAGAAGCATAAAAGTAGACAATACGCCCTTCCTTGAACAGCTAGTAACTAACATCACACAGCGCCTGCTGAAGCAGATAAGCACCTCATAAAAGTTAAAACTTTGATAAATTAAACAATTATATAATTTATCTTTAAGAAGCAACTTATCAACTTGCTCAAGATGACACTGAAGTCTAAAGACATGACTGGACGCAGAAGTTTCTGAAGCAGCCTGGGGCGTAGAACAAAATCCTGTGTGTACTAACCTTCAGGCACAGGTCAGGTTTCACACAAGAAGACATACTTACTTAGCCTCCATTAATTTAATCTTCTGCACTCGTCCACACGTTGAAGTTGCCAGAGTTTGAAGGGGTACTTAAAACAATACAGGTGACAATAGCAAATTAACAAAGTATTTGTCCTGGTTTCAGCTAGGATAGAGCTAATTTTCTGCTTAGTAGCTAGAATAGCACTGTGTTTTGGTTTCAGTATGAGAAGAATTGCTGATACATCAATGTTTCTAGTTGTCACTAAGAAAATCAAGGACATTCCAATTTCCCATGTTTTGCTAGTCTGCAGGTGCAGAAGAAACTGGGGGAGCATAGCAAAATTAGCAGACCCAAACTGGCATCTGGATATGCCAATGGGATATTCCATATCATATAATGTCATGTTCAATATATAGATTAGGGTTGACCGGAATACACTCTCTCTCTCTCTCTTCTGGGATTGTGGTTTCAGTGTCAGGATTTTTACTCCTCCAGGATCACTATCCAGGAACAGGCTGGACATTGGTCAGTGAGTGGTGAGCAACTGCACTGTGCATCGCTCATTTGTATATTCTATTATTATTATAATTATCATTTTAAGTTTTATTTTATTTCAATTATTAAATTGTTCTTATCTCAGCCTACAAGTCTCTTTACCTTTACCCCTCCAATTCTCTCCCCAGTTCCCTGGGGAGGGGGGGCAGGGGAGAACAAGCAAGCGGTTGTGTGGTACTTGGCTGTCAGTGAAGTTAAGCTACAACAGTGTTGCAAAACACGAGATCAAGTGCAGTTCTACTACTCTATTCAGAACCTCTGAGCAGCACTGAAAATCAAATATGATCAATGACATCACTCAGGAACATCCACCTACAGCAGCCACAACAGCTGCAGCCCTCGTTTACTCCCTCTCCCAGAGACTAATCTCACATAAAGCAGGGAAAGGCAGACAGACTCAGATTCGCACAGTACCTACTAGCAGCACGCTTTTTTGGCATTTCACTTCTCACCTTCTAAAGCACAGCAGCACACAAACACTTAATTACACCAGCAAACATCTGCGATCTGTACATTTCAAGCCATTCGTAGTGCTAGTTATCCAGACCCTACTCACAAACCAGCTTCCAAGCTAAGAAAATCAGTCTTCACAGAGACAGTAAGAGAAGCCCTTTGGGACTGCTAGACTGAAAGCCAAAAGGCTGAGTCAGAACTTTTCACAGAGTATCATCTTAGAAAGCCCAGCCCTTGGCCAGGCATACCTCTGCTCCTCAGTGATTTCCCTGAGGGGGTAGATGGCAAGTATGGAAAGGAGGGATTACAGGGCAGCAGCCACAGAGAAGGTGAGGGGGGGAAAAAACCCTACAAAACGCTTTTATTAGTTACCTCCCTTCAACACAGGAGTGCATCAATGGGCAACAGAAGGGCCCATGTGCGCACCGTAATTACTTGTGACAGGAACACGCCGTGTGGAAGAGCCACAGCCCTGCTTCCTTCAGATGCAGCAACTGCAGCGGTCAGGCCAGCGCCCAAAGCAAGCAGGCACGGAGAAGCCCCTCTCCCTGGGCGCCCGGCCGCTCCGCTGCC